TCAGAAATGAAGTCGGCATCCTGTTGATATCTATGTATAGCACATTTCTAGTCTTCTGACAACTCAAAAGAGCTTTTACACCGCAGGTCACACCTACACATTCACACCCATTCACACCCTGATGGTAGAGGCTGCTATGTAGTGTCCATTAGTATATAATCCCATTCATACACATTCATATGCCGCCAATGACGCAGTGGGAGCAACTTGGGGTTAAGTGTCTTGCCCAAGGATAGGTTGATTGGTCGCACCAGCTGAGACTTCCAGTTGTTCATGAATTTTTTTATTTTGTGTATTTCATGTTTTTTAGGTTTTGATAATTAGTTCATAAGACCTGTTTGTTCTTGAGAGGAGGACGACTCTGTGGATATTTGGTCACTGATGAAAATAATGAACCATGTCTTCAGTGCCTGACATACCGTCCCTCATCCTTTGCTCTGATACTTCTGTCACTTTCATATGAACCACTACGAATGACTTCAAAGAGTCTGAAAAGGTACACACATATTTCCTCTTGTTCAGACATTATCACATACAACCCCTCTGCTCTTTAACGACTGCAGGCTTCTTTTACGTTTAGGCGAGGACAAGATGCTGACGTGGGTGTTGGCCTTTTGAAAGTTACTAAAAAGAGGGAGTTACAGCAATCTAAATGTGGAGATAACCACGTCAGTTGCTGACATATCAAATTTCATTAGAAATGAAACTGAAAAAAAAGAGTTTAAATTAAAGATGATTGGGGGAAATTAAAGGTTTATTAGCTTCATAATACGCCATCAAGCATTGGGCTGTAGTGCGTTTGGCGTCAAGATGCCTTTTATTTTATTTTTTTACTGAATGCTCCAAGGCTTTATTTAAATATGATCACTGATTTATTCATATATTTGTACTTTTTATTTGTATCTGTAGGTCAATATTTATCCTTTATTAATTCATGAGCCAGAAGAGAGCAGCATGTTTCTTTAAAATGTGGCCTAGATAGATTTTAGAGAGTAGTAGATTAAAAAAGCGTATTTAAGTACCTAAGGATAAAACATTAAAAATAAATCTGCTGTTTCAAAATATTGATACTCCATTTGTCTTTGAAATCGTTTTAGTGAAATCTTTTTATTTTATTTAAACAGTTACTTTTTGCATATTTCAAATACTTAAATGTAAGCAGGATAGAACATTTCAGTAGTGTGTGTGGGGGGGTACAGAAAATGTTTCACCCACAAGGGTGGCGAAACCACCTCCCTGAACTGTTTATCTTTTCCAGTGTATTTGAACTGGAGATATTCCTAGAGACTTATTTCTAGAGGTGGGCGGGCAAATCGATACAGCCTAGAATCGCAATATTTTGTGTGGCGATATTATATCGCCTCATGGCAGCGAACTGTCGATATTTTAGAAGAAAAAAAGTCATGTTCAAATTGGATTAGACTGAAATACCAACAGATCAGATTGTGACGTTCATGCAGCCTTTCACAGGGTGTGACTTTTATCACAGTGTTGGTCAGTCTGTGGGTTTGACTCCTCTTCTGTAGAAATAAAAAGACTGAAGTGAGATGAAGAGACTGAGAATGTTTCTTGTATTTGACTGAACAGTTCTTGATTTAGTTTAGTTTTGTGGACAAAATATGCAGTTAAAAAAGGCACACAGAGCAGTAAATTAACAACAGTGCAAGTAGACGAAACATTTTATCCTAAATATAAAGTGTCAATTTAAATACAATTTAAAGCTTAAACTTAACTTAAAAATACAAAATATAAAATATTAAAGAGTACATATGAGTGTACAGTGATCGGACTAACAGATGTAAACAGAACTATGTGCAGTAAACGAGAAATAAATACATACATACAGAGCTATGTGCAAGTAGGCAAATACTAAATGATAAGTTAATAAGGTGCATGGTGAATAATGGAACAACAGAACTAATATATACAATATAACTGTAAAGGTAAAAATTAGATAAATAAAGTGACCGTAGTGCAATGATGGATAAGAGACAACAGGGGTAACAAGAGATAACAATGGTAGTGCCCGGTTAGGACTGGAGCAATGTTGATAGGCTGAAAGATAGTACATTTTAATAAAGTTGATGGCTATTATGCAGCTGACTTTGATCATAAGGTACGGCCTGTGGTCAGTCTTTCAGAGCATCTGCATCATTATGGGCTATCCATTGTTAAAGTCCTTACAGGTAGTCCATTGATCTTAGAGCAGACTGTGACCGTGCTCTGCAGGTGGTTTCTGTTCTGGAGGGTGGTGGAGTGGAACCAGCAGGTTATAGAAAAAGTAATAATGCTCTCAATGAAGGAGTAGTAGAAGGTCAGAAGAATGTTCTTACTGACTCCAAAGGAATTGAGCTTCCTTAGGAGGTATTTTCGCTGCTGACATTTCCTGAGAATCTCCTCGGTGTTGGAGGAGAATTTCAGCAGGCTGTCGAAGATGGTACCCAGGTACTTGTACTCCTCTACTAGTTCGACAGGATTCCCATGGATTGTGGTGATTGCTGATGTTCTGCTTGTTGGAGAAGGTCACCACCATGTCTTTGGTCTTGCTCACGCTCAGTTCGAGGCAGGAGCTGTCACACCACTCCACAAACTCCTGAAGAACTGGTCCATGGTGCTGAGAGGGGCCTGACAGCAGAGACAGGAGAACTGTGTCGTCCGCGTACTTCACCAGGTGACAGTTTGGCTGTGTGGTTCTGCAGTCATCGGTGTAGAGGATGAAGAGCAGAGGTGAGAGCATGCAGCCCTGAGGGGGAGCCAGTTGAGGTGTGTTGGAGGTTGGAGAAGGTGTTGTTGACCAGAACTCTCTGTGATCTGTTGGTCAGAAAGTCCAATATCCACAGGATAAGCTGGTCGTTGAAGTTGTTGAAGGTTTGTCAGCCAGGATGTGAGGCTGCAGGGTGTTGAATGCAGAGGAGAAGTCTGCAAACAGGAGTCTGGCTGAGGTGTTGGGGTGCTCCAGGTGTTTGTGAACAGTATCTATAATGAATGTTTTTGCATCATCGACACCTCTGCCTGCGCAATAAGCAAATTGTAGCGGGTCCATCTGGGAGTCGGTTTCTCTGATGATGTGTTGTTTTATGATCCTCTCCATGGCCTTCATCAACAGAGACATGAGGGCCACAGGCCTGAGGTCGTTCAGTGATTTGGCGGGGCTTTTCTTGGGGATGGGGATAACTGTGGAGTGTTTCCACAGCTGGGGGACTGTGCTGCTGTCCATATATTTTGATGTTGGTAGCAGCAGTGTTCACAGCAGCCATGTTTTTGAGGCCCTGCCAAGCTGAGCGGAGGTTCCCCTGTGTGAATTTTTCTTCCACTTTGTTCTTGTACTTGAGTTTGGCAGTTTTTATGGCGTGCTTGACTTCTCTGTTTACCTCCCTTTTCTCCATTTCGGAGCCGGTGAAGAAGACCCTTTTCTTCTTGTTGAGGATCTCCTTGAGCTCTTTGGGGATCCAAGGTTTATTGTTGGGGAAGACTGTGACTGTTTTGGAGGGGATGATGTTGTCCACACAGAAGGAGATGTACGATGAAACAGTGTCCACATGCTCATTAATGTTGTTGGAGGGGGCTAAGAGGTTATCCCAGTCAGTGAATTCAAAGCATCCTTGTAGTATAAGAATGCTTTCGTTGGTCCACTGCTTGATGTTCTTAACAACTTTCTTAACCCTCTTTATTACAGGAGTATAGAGCAAGTAGGATGGCATGGTGGTCAGCAGAGCCAAGAGGGGGGAGAGCAACAGGTCTGTATGCGTTAGGAACTGAACCATAACATTTATCCAGTGTCTTCCCCAGGCGGGTGCTGCATGTAATGTACTGCTGGTAGCCTTTTAGTGCTTTTTCAGGATAGCAATGGTTGAAAGATTAAGCTTTATCGCAATATATTGTATTGCGATAGTCAGCATATTGCAAAATGTTTGAAATGGCAATAATATTGCTATATGTTCCTAAGTGCTCATACGGATTTATGTTGGATCTTTGGAAAATAATACAACAAAGAGTAAGGTCTTTTACCTGCTCTTTTGTATTTTAAGATAGCATTTAAAAACTTAAAGTTTATCTGTTATGGAAGCGATTAGTGATCAAAATTCAAATGCATTAACAGAAATGCTTTTTAATTTTCAGAATATGAGTGTATTATTTGACTCAAAAATAAAATGATGATTAATTTATCTAATTTGAATTTTAGTTTTCAACTTCAAAAACACACATTCTTTGACTAAATTAAAATGAAGAAAATGACATTTGTTTTATCATTTTCAAAAAATGCCCCGCTAAATCTGTATCATAATTCAAACGAAAATGCTAATTTGAAAATGAAAATGCAGTAACAGAAACACATTTTAATTTTCAGAATATAGGAGCATTATTTGACCTATATTTAAAATGAATATTCAGTCATCCAGTTTGCATTATACTTTTACTCTCTATGTATGCATATTGTATGACATCATTCAAATGAAAACGAAAAGGTCTTTGGCTTTTCCATTTCAAACTTGCCGTGCTAAAAAGTGATCATAATTCAAACCAACTCGAAAACGAAATGTCTAAGTGGACGACGCAGGAAAGTGACGTCAGACTCCAGCTCACAGGCCGACCGCGCTACGCATCCAATACAATAGGTGGCGGTGTGCATCTTTAACGCTGGTGCCGACTTTAGCTTCCACTGTGATGCAGGTGACAATCAGCGTGGACCTTTCCAGAGCGCACTAAACTTTCAGCGATTATGGCATTTCCTGACAGGGTTGTATTATCACTCTTAGAATTGGCTGAATTGGTGGAACAGAATACTGTTACTGAGTCCGATTGCCGTGACCGTGTCGAACAGATGATCGAGACCTTCGCAGAATACTCTGCCATCACGGACACGGATGTTAATGAAGTTGCCATAGTTAATCTGTTTTCCATCCTTGATCAACTTGGTGTGTCGGTGTCTGAAAAGGGCCAGCTATCAACATCCCATTCGAAGCGATTGAGAACTATTTGTTTTTAAAGTGAAGGAGATAGCAGAGCTGTTTGGAGTAAGCCACCAGACCATCTGTAGAAGGATGCGAAGCAACGGATTAAGGTTAATAACTTATCTCGCATTGTTTGGATTACAAAGTATTTTGCTTTTGCTAAGGTTATTTTTCAGAAACGACTGTTTTTTATTCTGTTATAGAGTATCTGACACATACTCTTCCGTGAGTGACAGAGAGCTGGATGCAGTCATAGCCGAAATCCACATAAATCACCGGAACACCGGTTACAGAATGATGGGATCATTCCTGCGTGCCAGAGGACTGCGAGTGCAAAGTAAGTTTGAAACATAGCCATATAAATGAAGTCCATTTAAACTTGTTGATATCGTGACCACATCACTTGGCGTCACAGAGAGGGAGAGAGTGTGTCTGGTATGCAGGCTGCATGACTACAAGTTGCAGCTTTTGGCAGAATCTAAACTTTTCTTTATGTTAATCTCTGACTGATCGACCCCTCCCCTGCTATTTTAAAAAGGCATGTTTTACAAAAGATTTCCGATTAAACATTTCCTCTCATTTTTTCCGTAGTTCCAAGGGTACGTGATTCACTCAGAAGAGTGGACCCAGATGGGACGGAATTGCGGGCCATGGCAAATCGCACTCTTAGACGCAGGCAATACTCTGTTCCTGCACCCAATGCAATGTGGCATATAGATGGAAACCACAAATTAATCCGGTATTTTCTTTTGGTGGCACTATATTCTTACATTATTAAATACATACTATACTATATGATGCCTTTTTGGTTTTAATAGTGTGTGTTTTCTTCTTTTTTTACCAATAGATGGAGATTTGTGGTTCACGGTGGAATAGATGGCTTTAGCCGTTTGATTGTTTATCTGTCTGCTGCAACGAACAATCGAGCGTCTACAGTGTTGGAGAGCTTCAGTGGTGCAGTCAGCAAATTTGGTGTGCCATCCAGTGTGCGCTCTGACAAGGGTGGTGAGAACATTGAGGTTCCCCATTACATGGTGGAACACCGGGGAGAGAACCGTAACTCCCACATCACAGGAAGAAGTGTCCATAACCAACGGTAAGTTTCAATAGTACATATAAGGTTACAATTCTCCACTTTTCATTCCTGTGGTTGCTTGGCAAAAACAATCATGGGCCTTAGTCATAAAATCTTGTTCCACCTCAATGTGTCTATTTGGACTGAGTTTGTTTAGCCCTCAATTTTTTTCTGCAGAACTATTTTGATGATTTTACCCTCCTCCTATTACCCAGATAAGACTTAATGCATCTTTATAAAGTATAGCTTTGCTCATCTTTCTAATATCAGACATTTTTATACTAAGTTATACTGTCTAATTAAGTACTCATCCAAGACCGTTTAGGTTAGACACACATAAATAAAGCAATAACAGAACTTTACAATTTACTCTGAACATTGTATTCTTTTTATCAAAACACAATTTCCTTTTTCAGGATAGGACGTCTGTGGAGGGATGTGTACACCCAAGTCCTTGATGTGTTCCATGTTCTCTTCCGAAACATGGAGAGAGAGGGGATGTTGAATCCTGATGATGAGGTTCACCTTTTTGCACTCCACTGGACTTTTCTGCCTCAACTTCAGAGGCAACTTTCCTTCTTTATGGAGGCCTGGAACCATCACAGCCTGAGAACAGCGGGAAGCCAGTCTCCATACCAACTTTGGACAACATTCAGAAATGTTGAAGATCCTGATCAGGTATATAACAATGTTTAGGTGTATTGTTGGAATAACCACTATTTAATTGTAAATTTAAAATGCCTAAACTAATGATATGGTTAGATTTCAAATAATGTGATTTTTCAGATTAAGAGAATTGAAGCCATAAGTAAACATTATAAGCTTTTGAATGTTACAACTTAGATACACTATCTTTACATATCCAGTTTGATAAAACAATGAATCCAGAGTTTATAAACTTTAAACTATAATTGTCTTCAATTTGTATTAAGGTGGAGGCAGATTATGGAATTAATTGGGATGGGCCGTATGGCTACGATGACCTTGGAGGTGGAGTTCAAATCCCAGAAGTGCAGTTGCAGCAGGACACGACTGAGGAAGATATGGCCAGATTACCTGACCCCAATGTCCCCTTCTTAGATGCAGTTGACATCTACAGTGCCGCAGTCCAGCAGTTAAGACAGTGACTTTGTCAATCTTTGACACACTCTAGGTTCAGTCTAAATGCATTTGTTTTGTTTTCCCCAGTTGAATAAATGTGAGTGAGTGCAGAGCAAAGAGGTGCATTCATAAGGCTCAAAGTGAAATCAAAACACAGAGCTAAACAAATTTGACTTTTTATTTCCATTACTCCCCAGAAGAATTCATTGACAAAACTGTTAACAATTTTAACAAATTAAATTGGTCAACAAATGGTAACAATGGTCAATAAACTTTAACAAAGTCTAAGTTGCATGAACCAATTTCTTCCAACAAACAACTGTGCCACTACTTTGAAACACATTTTAAACGATATTGCATCTTTAGAACAAATCAAGGTCTCGGCTGTATATTACAATCAGATCATTCCGAACCCAAAATCTGTACTTCTCACAGATGCCTTGAGATTGTCTGTGAAAGTCTGGTATGTTCGGCACTTCAGAGGCAGTTTCAACGTTGTGAGGCAGGTTGAAGCTACGGGCAGATTAATATCAGGAGAAACTTCTACATACAGGTGCTGGGGAGGGATACTCCAACCTGTCCAAAAAGGAGTTTGTGCAGTTCCTCAGAGGACCCTAAAGAGACATGGTCATAAATTAAATATTTTTTGAAACCTACGGTAAGTATTTGCTTAAATGATGTTATTGAGATATCTTATTTCAGGGAATTTCAGAAGTTAACCCTCAAAGCATTAGTCACTGTTTCACTTGAAAATGTTTTTTCAAGAGTTGGGCTCTACAGTACCGTAATACACAAGTTCAAGGTTTACAATGTAGATTTTACACTGACGTGTAGCCAGACTGAATCAATTAATCTTAATCTGTGAGAGTGTGAGAACTCAGCAACAGATTTAAACTGTTAAAATCTATTATTTCTAAGATAAAATCTACATTTATCTTACCATTTTCAATGTAGTCTCTTAAAAAGCCTGTGACCAGGCAGGTCTCCTCCACACTGTTGTGGTCATCCTCATCCCCACTATCAGGCATTGGCCAGATGATCCTTTTCAAGATCATCTAGAAGAGAAGGTTATCAGAGACTTGAATTAACAAGAGTAAATTAATAGAATAATGGTATTTGGTACAAGGCAATCACATTTTGAAAAATAGAAGCAGAAAAAACAACTTTTATTTTACTTAAAACAATTACTTTGATAGTTAAATGGTAGAACTCCCACATAGTTTTGGCTTTTCCTGATGATAATAATACTAATAATATTAAGTGAACCAGCTTAATGTGAGAAGCTAATTACCTGTGAGTCCATCACTTGTGCTGCAGATCTTGGAAACAGGACCTCGGCTAGGGCTGGACGCTCTTTTATCATGTTGAGCACACCAGTCTCTTTCAGCCCCTTACGCAGCTGCTTCATTTGTGTTCGTCGCCGTTCAATGACCTACAAACGTAACTTGTCAATTAAATAATTCTCAAAAATATTTTTAAGATAAAGTTGCAACAAAATATCATTATCATGATATCATGACATCATTATCATTATCAAAGTAGACTTAAAGTATCATTTAATTCTGTTAGTAATATGCATCGTAGCATATTGATTCCTTTCTCTTGGACTACACGTATTGGATTTGTTTTAAATTTCACTATCCCTGTATCTTTATCAAGAGAAAGAACAGTGACTTGTCAGACAATGTCACGTTGCATTTATGAATCTTTTTTTTTTACTTATTCATATACCGCATGGTGCAGGATTTTTTCCGCCAACCACCTCCTCTTGTTACTTTTGATGGGGGGAAGATCCCAACTAAATGCCAGATTGTTCATTTCAGATCTTTCCTGCGGGGTCAGTTCCTTCTGACTATCAAGCTGCAATTTATAGGAAAAAGCAATTTTATAAATATCACTTGTATGTTCTATGTTGTTTTACATAACTTATAAAGAAACATTTGGCATGACGTAAATCATAGAAATAATAGTCCATTTCATTGAATAAAAAAAGTAGTGGCAAAGTTAAGCAAAAATCCAAGTAATTAATACAGGTAAAACGTACAGCAGACACCATTTCGACCACATCTGTATCAGGGCAGTCGCAAAGTCCCCAAAGCTGAAGACTCCTCATTATTCCCTGTGATAAGCTGCAACATTGATGGGCTCAGTCCAGTGAATCGTGGCCCTCCATGAACAAAGGAATGTCCAATTATAAGTCCAGCAACCCTGAAAAGATCCCCATCTACCAGGACTCTGGTGGTAGACGGAACCTCGTGATCCTCTATCCCATTGAACAGAAGAGTTCTGCCAGTGTTTTCTAAGATTGGAAAAAATAGTTTTAGAAGGCATTTCAATACAATTTCAGCTGAAACTTGTTGGTGAACTTGTTTGTTCAATTGATATTGAAATTTCAAGATGGCTCAAGTTTATATCTAGTTCAAAATTATATGTTCAGGAGAGCTCGACAGTTTGTCCTCTGTGGCCTATTTGTTAATTAGTAGGACAATTTACATAACATACACTTTAGAACTCATTTAGACAAAAAAGTTGAAAAACAATCTGAAAATGTGCAAATTATTCTGCAGAAGTATAGTAATGCAACCCTAGACTGTGTCTTTTATACTTAATAACAATTATTACTTTCTGAACTGCGTTAATTCCAGGTTAAAACACACAGTTGTAAGACTGTCTGAAACATCACACTTCAAATAAAATAGTTACTGTTCCAAAACTGGCAAAAAAACTGTCCCATTGTATAGCATGTGATCCTTAGTCCAGACAGGGTTTTAGAGGCAACCACTTAGTAGTCTGCTGTTTAACAAAATAAATTGTCAAATCTTACCAAGGTCAAGGTCAAATCCAAATTGGATTTTATCCATTATCATTGAAAAGAAGTGGCGTTTTACACCATCCCCAACAGCTGCATCACCTGAAATACAAGTAGTTTCAGGTATAACTTTGTTGATTCAATTTAACTTAATGGCAACAGAACACATCCCATCCTAATAATCTGTATCCTTCCTCTATGATGTGTCTGGGTCAAATCTATTTTATTTCAGCTAGTTATTAGGTCTAATATAGGGTGATAGAATGCATGATTAAATTGAATAAACAATTTAATACAGCTTGAATTTAAACCTCTGTGATTGTCATCTTACAGTAAAAGGAACCTCAGAGGGAACTCTGCCAGGAACCTTCAGTGAGAGTTACCTACCCCTTAGTATGACAGAAAATGGGTTTGCCCAGTCAATTCCTGGCTTTTTGCAGAAAGTTAGAATCTCTCTTTCACGATCTTCCTCACTGGATCTAAGATCAAGCCTTGCAACCAACTCAGGCTTGTTTTCAGCATTGTTGAGCAAGTGACGTCGATACATATTGGCCGCAACAGCAATGTCAGGCTCTGTCATCCACTCTGTGAAAACAAAGTCATTATCAAAAAAAAACATTTGTAGGACAGAAGCTAAATTTTATATAGTTTGCAATGACATCACATATACATTTTCTTTTTAATGTATTCAAAAAGTGAATGTGGTAAAAAAAAACACATAAAATGATACCTTCAAAGCTTCTACCTTTATTGTCTTTTAGTAAACTTTGGCTGCCTGATGAACTAGCAGCAACTGAGTTTCCTGCCCAAGTTCCCTCTGAGGTTCCTGAACGAGTTTCCTCTGAGGTTCCTGAACGAGTTCCCTCTGATGTTCCTGGTGGGGTCTCCTCTGAGGCATTAGCATCCAAGTTATATTTTCTTGAGATGTTAAAATAAAGATTGTTAATATACAGTAATAAAGCTACAGCATCACCTACAGTAGTGCAATTTGTCATCATGGTCATGGGTGACATTTTTCAAACTTGCACTCCTAAATTATGTACAACATTGTACCAACTGGTGATCTAGGATTAAGGAATGTGTAAAACTACATGTAAATTACATGTATAAATAATAAATAGGTCTCACTTCTCACAACTGTCAATGTGGTTTTCCATCTGTGGTCCAGAAGTTTGCGGAGTGATGGTCTCATTGGGTGGACTCTAGCAAAAAGCAAAAATTAGACAACACAATTACATTAATTTGTACCATGCAATAAATCCCATGTAATTACCACATGACATATCTTGAAGATTTCATTTTAGACCATATCGCCCAGCCCTAACTACCGCTGAAACACAATGTTACCTCCAGGTCTATATCTTTTTGGAGTGGCCTTATATAAATTACTGCTGCCCCAACTCCAAGTTCTTTGCTGCACAGTCTCTCCGGAGTATACCCATCCTCTGGACAGGGCATGATGTCCAAGACCTTGGACCTTGTAGAACCTCGGCTCCTTAAGAGCTGAAACCCTCCACGGTGCTTTAGTTGTGGAAAGTTCAAGTGGAGATGATTGGAAAACTCAGATGCATGGCAGTATTTGTCTAAGGGAAAAAAAATAAAGCAGTATCATGACCAACTGAGGTAAAAACCATACACAAAACAAACGGTGAATTCTGTGAACTGTCCTACCCCTATCCATTTCTGTGCTGAGGGATTAGTAAAAATAAAAAAGACCTACCTGGGAAAGTGATTTTTCTTTCTTCTAAAGCTGCCCTTTCAAGTTCCCTTCTCACTGCTAGACTTGGAACCTCGCAGTCCTTTCCCTTGGCAAGGCAAAAAAAAACATGTGTGTATGTGGGTTTTTTTAAAGTCTTGGTCACATTGGCTGGTGACGTTGATCTCCGTAGGACACCTTGTGCAGCCGGGTAGGGACTAAAGAGCTTTAAAATCTCTGCTGGAGGACATATGGAAAGAAGAAAAAGATTAATGCTTAGACAGTTAGATCCTTAGTTAGAAGTTAGCTAGTGTAGTACACATCTATATCTGTATGATAATGAGTGATAAAGCTCAGGAAGCACAGTCAATCATATACGTTTGTTACTATAAAGGAGGACACTACTGTAAGGTAGGTACATTTATTTACATGTCATATTTCTATTAGTCTAGCTGTGCACGATTCTGTTTAATAATTTAAGGACACAGTCTATAATAATTTTCCCCGGTATTTATTTAGGTTGGAATTAAACATTTGTTCAAGCCAGCAATGTATGTTTGTGCACTGAGACAAAAACCGCTTCACCTCCGTCAAGTCTCCATGACAGCAGTGTGTTGACAACAGTCACTTTTTACTGCATGTTTTATATTTGAGATCGTTTTTATTCCAGCAGAA